GTTGAAGTTTTCAATGTCATGATTTTGAAAAACTTTTCCTTAATTTCCGTAATGGGAAAAGTCCAAAAAATTAGTCGTAAAATAGTTAATGTTGATATTTTTAGTTTTCATTTTATATGAAAATATTTTTTTGAAAACTAAAATGGTTATTGTGAAATTTTTATTAATAATACTTCAAATATTTGTCTTGCTGACAACATGTCGTCGTCAGAATAATATGTCGCGACATATTATTCTTGAAAATCCAATTATAAATCAATGTAGGTTACTGTGAAGGCTTAAAATTATATCAAAATTTTTAGCTTCGATGAGAAACTGAGAAGGTATTGGTTTTACTAAGATGTGTTTATTTTTTTTTTGTGTCTGTTACTACTTTTTCTCAGCTCTCACCGANTGTGTCTGTTACTACTTTTTCTCAGTTCTCACCGAACCGATTTCTTCCAATAATACGTCAAAAGATCACAAATCGTATCTAGTCGAAGACATTATCCTCAAAATTGAAAAAACTTTCCTCTTTCCCCGTAAATGGGGGAAACCTCCAAAAAAATTACATATTTAAAAAACGCTGATTTTCGAAATTTTTTTTACTTCAAATTGCCATAACATTTTTAAAAATAACCGAATCAACATAATTCTATTTTTTATAGATGCATGATGTCTTTATCTATCATTTGGTATATTTTTTTTATAAATCTGACTTTTTTCCTGCCCACAGAGGGGGGATTTAAAATGACAACTTTTTCACAAAAAATTAATTTTTTCAACTTGACATTTGAAAATGTTCCGGAAAGTCTGACACTTTTATATATATATTAAATTAAAGCTAATGTAATGTACTTTATTATGGAAAAAAAAAATTTTATTTTTTATCTTCACGGTGAAAATGGCTACCAAATGATATTTTTGTGTGAAAATTTTCGATTTTGTATTTTACGTTTTTAACTTTATAATGCTATAATTTATTGAAAAGTGTATGGATCAACATAATTATTTTATGAGAAATAATATTTTTTAATAGTCCCTTTTTCATTCAATATACTTTATATTAATCAAGATATTAATAAGGAACTAGCAGATCATGTGGCTTTTGGAATAATCCACCAATTTTTTAAATTTAAACACTATCTAAAGATTTGCATCGAAGCGTTTTTTTTTTATAGTGATTTTAATCACTGTCAGATATCATTNGTGATTTTAATCACTGTTAGATATCATTATACTTGATCCAATTATGCCACGTTACTACTGTGCCGCGACCCCCCTGATCTGGGTTTTTTCAATTTTTTTTTTCTTTTCAATTTTGATTAAAATTAAAAAGTATGATTTCTGTAATCCTACATCAAATTAGGAGCACACAATGTACTTTTAATATAATATACAAATCACCCACAATCTAGGAGTTAGAAGGCATTCAAGCTAAAAATCATAGTTTTATGTTAAAATTAAATATTCAGAATGCATGGGTCCTATTTTTTTATAGTGTCATATTAAAAATTTTTTATTGACTAATATATGAAAAATGTGATACCAAGAAAAATATTCGTTAAATCATATAAGTTAACAATAATATGTTCAAAACAGGAATTAATAAAGGTGTTTTCAGTATTGTTAATTAATAATAACATTTTACAAAATTTTATATTTATTCTTATGTATTAATACTACAATTTGATGAATTCTCAATTTAGTTTTAAAATTAACAAGTAAAACATAAGATAAGTAAATTCCAGTGTATTAGAATTAATAGTAATTTTATAAATTAGAATTCTAATTGATGTAAACAATAATATAATTGATATTTAAATAAATATAATATAATATTAAATGTATATAATATGTATAAATATATATTAAATTATAACATTTTTTAAATATATATAATACAAAAATAAATAATGATAAAACAACATATTAAATTAATAAAATTGATTTAAAAATTCATCATCTTCCATAATAGGATCATATACTTTTCTCGGATCAAATAAAACTGGAGAAATGGTTAAATCCCAAGTAGGTAATAATTTGCTATAAAATGGTTTTGGAATGTAATCAGTAATGAATTCAAAATAATCAAAATTATTTACAATGATATGATGTTTTGCCATGTAATGTCTGATCATATCAGTGTACATTTGTAAATTTGCATCTTCATCAGATCGCATAGCTTTCAAAATCGATGATAAATATATTAAAAACTTTTCAGCATACTTCACTGAATATATGTTATATTTTTTTTCTAATTTACGTATCAAAAAATCATATAAACGTTTTGTAATCCATGGTTCTTTCTTGTATAAAGTTGTATACTTTTTTTTTATGGATTTTACATTTTCAATATCGGAAGTATTAGAGTCTTCTGATGATGATGATGAATTTATAGCCAATGATTTGGTCAATATAGTAGGACTTTTTTCTTTTAGAAAAAATGTAGACGGATCTTCAACAAAATCAGATTTCAAATTTAGTGTACTACCTATTTCAGATATAGTTATCTTATGTGTACTATCTGATATTTCAGAATTATACTTTTGAATTGCACTTATATTATACACAGGGATAGCTGGCATAAAATAACTATCGTACTTGAAATTAGTACCAATCGACACACTATCTTTTTCACTATACTCGCTTCTTAAAAAAGACAGAAACGAATCTGGACGTTCGTATTTTTCTATTTCGTCATTAATAAAACTATATATTTTTGAAAAAAATGTTTTCTTTTTTTGAAGTTTTGTCTAAAAATAAATATTACGAGAATACAAATATTTAACACAAAAAAATTATTTTATCTACTGACAATTTCATTTTACTTACACCATGTTCAATATTATCATTAAGTTTTTGATTTAAGCACGACAATTCCAAATTTCGTTGGGGAGGATTATCAGCACAATAATAGTACAATGTATCACACAAAAAATCATTGATCCTGGAATGTTGTTTTCCTGAAAAATGTATATATCTTATTAATATTCAATAGTATTTAAATCATGTGTGTAAATATTTACAGTAATGACTGTTATTACATTAATTTATAGTCCAATTTTCAGGTTATATTAAGGTAATATTTTAAATTGTACTGTGTTCGTGAATTGGTAAATCAGAGCTTATCTAAGGCTGTTTTATCAAGGTAATAAGGTCAAAAAAGAATGACAAAAATAAACTATCAATTTGAAACGTTAATTACTGTGAAATACTACCGCAAATTGTAAATAAAATATAATTAATATTTATAAACCATAACAAATATTAACTCTATTGCAAAAAAACTCTCTGAGGATATTTTTTAGGACTACCTTTTGAAAGTACATAAGAACCTACATTATTATACCACATAATGAAAAATGGTTTAAATAAAATTTTGGATCAGGTGTGAAGCATGATAGTGTTTAACGATGTTTTTTTTTTACTATAATATACAGATAATTTATTTTATTAACAAGTTAATAAAATAGGTTTACTTGTTCAACCACGTATGCAAAGAATGTCATTTAAATTTATAATTTTCGATGATAATATTAATTATTATTGAAAATTTAATATTACTATCACAATAGATATTGAAATAAATAATATTTAAATTTTCAATCAACTTTTATAAAGGTTTATTAATTCAAAATTATTTGGTAAATTTTAGAAACAATACTTAACCAAAAAAATCATATCAATTTAAANAATTCAAAATTATTTGGTAAATTTTAGAAACAATACTTAACCAAAAAAATCATATCAATTTAAAAAGAAAATCTCATTATAGATGGATATTAGTATTGAGACCAGCATACATTAAAATCTGATATTAGTTAATTTTAATTACTGTTATTTTACTTTTATTAACGCTTCAATTTAAATAATTTGAAAAAAAGGTATTAATTTTTTTTGATAACTATTATTTTAATTAGATAGATGAACTTTACTAAAATTAAGTAGTTTAATTTAGTTAGTTAAAAATAGACGTATTAATACGTCATTATTTGGACAAAAAAATGTAAAATTTAGGTGGTCAATATCAGTAGCATATCCAAGAAGAGTAGGGAGTTGTAACTCAAATTGTTTCTTAATTTTAAAATAATTTTATAAGTATCAAACATGGAGAAAATATAAAGTACAAAAATATTCAATTATCATTTAAAAAAAATAATGTATAAAATGTATATATAACTTATAAATGTACAATAAAAATCTCTAAAATTTAAAAAAAAAATTAATTTGTTATACTTTNAAATCTATACTGGACCCTACTATGCAATGTCTCCACTATGCCGCGACCCCACTGTGCTACCGTTTTTTTTTTTTAATTTTAAAATGCATTTTAAATTAACAAAGTTTTAAACAGTTTTATTAGTGGATTCAACACATAACCTAGTAGACCCTAATGATTTGAATCTATTTATGATTAATTTTAGTGAGTGTAAAAAATGTTTGAAAGTCTTTAGTTTTTTAAGTAATTAAATAAAATGCCACGTTCCAGCCTATATCTTAGTTTTAGTTTAAGTTAAATAATTTATAATCTAGAGTGCTTAATAAATTATTATTCTAATAATTATGATATAATGTATATAAATAATTAATTATAAAATAAACAGTCTTGCATTTAAAAAAAATTAGATGGTAAAAACTATAGTTTCAAACTATAGATTTATCAAGTTATTTTGCATAGTAACAAAACACTTACATAGTTTTAAATTATTTCAAATTAGAGTTTGTTTAATGTAATAATATATAATTAAAAGAATTTTAAAACAAAAATAGCATACGGTAGCCATATTCACCGTAAAAACATAATTAAGTCCGAATTTTTTTTTTCACATTAAAGTATATTACATTAGCTTTAATTTAATTTATTTATATAAAAGTTTCAGTATTTCCGGAACACTTTCAAAAGTTAATATTTTGTGAAATAGATGTCATTTTGAATCTCCACCTCTGGGCAGATTTATAAAAAAAAAAATATCAAATGATAAGTAAAGACATCGTACATATATAAAAAAAAAATTATATTGATTTGGTTAATTTTAAAAAAGTTATGGCAGTCAAAAATTAGCAATTTTTAAATTTGTAATATTTTTGGAGATTTTCCACATTTACGGGGAACGAAAATTTTTTTTTTAATTTTTCAGGGTAATGTCTTCAACTAGATACAATTTGTGATATTTTGACATATCGTTTAAAGAAAACGGTTCTGTGAGAGCTGAGAAGAAGTGGTAACAGAGACAAAAAAAAAAATAAAAAAAAAAAACATTTGCATCGAAGCTAAAAATAAAGTTACCATTTAAAAATTGAAAGTTGATAATTATTTAAAGCATAAGGATAGATCATAAAAAGTAATTTTACTCACTGAGCAGCTCAAGATAAAAAACATAATATTTCATAATAAAAAAAAAAAAAGAAAACTCATATTTTTAGAGAATTTGTGAGACATAGTTAATCAATCACTCTGTATAATAGATGAATTAAAAAAGTATTTAATAATTGATAAATAAAAAAAAGGTGACAATATCAGTGAACAAAGGCCACAGAATTTTTAACTGAATATTTAAATTTAATCCTACTTCAACATCCTAAATTTTGATGTTACATGTTATAATGATATATTAAANTATTTAAATTTAATCCTACTTCAACATCCTAAATTTTGATGTTACATGTTATAATGATATATTAAATCATATTTATGATATAATTAGCTGTTCATCCATTTAAAATTTTCAATTTAAATATAAAGTTATAAATTGCTACGTTAGTTAATAATTATCTATTTTTGTTATAAGAACAATTTTAGAAAAAAATTTAATAGCAAAAAATAATTACATTAATTGATTCAGATAAAATAGTAAGTTTAATTATAACAATAATTTTACACTTAATATTAGATGATCGGATTAACCATTCAAAATTAATAAACTAACCAAAAATTTCTAATTGAAACTCAAATTCAGTATCTCTATTTAATAAAAAAAAAAATATTGAATGTAAGTTCATGTAAAATTGCTTATTCTTAAGTATTTATAATAAATTTTATAATAAACTAGAAGTTACAATTGTTTTTCTACTTATATTAAAAGTAATTTATTTATCTATCTGATTATTAGTAAAATTTTAATTAAAAATTGATGA